GGGGAGGGGGCGGGGCCTGTAGAGCGCCGAGGTCTGGTTGGGTGGGTCGCGGGGGGGCGGGGCTTGGCGCGAGTCGCGTTCTAGCAAGTTTTCCGGTGGGGCGCTCTTTGGGGGAGGCTGGAAGCGCGGGCGGAGGGAATGAGGAAGGTCCGGCTCCTGCCCCTGGGAGCGCTCCCAGACGGTGAAAGAAGGCATGGACAGAAAATTCCTACCTGTAAAAGGAGAATCTTGACATATAGGTGCCCGAACAGAGCACCGAGTGGCTCAAATGTAGTAGTAGGCACTCGATAAATAAATCACTGACCGGGCCAGGCTCGGTGGCTTACGCCTGTAATCCCAGCACTTTGGGAGGCCAAGGCGAGAGGACAGCCTGGGCAACATGGCGAGACCTCGTCTGTACAATAAATTAATTATTAGCCGAGCGTGGTGGTGCTACTTGGAAGGCTGAGGCGGGCGGACCGACTGAGCCCAGCAGGTGGAGGCTGCTGTAGTCCTGATGGTGCCACTACATTCCAGCCTGGGTGATGAGACTCCGACTCAAAAAAAAATAAAAACTTTGAGCGAATAAATGATAATTAACTCTTATTCATTAAGCACTTTCTGTACCATGGGCCCTGTACGTATTATACGTGGGATCTCCTTGACAGATGTAGTGAAAAGTATGTTTACAATCTCCATTTTACAGATGAGGCAACTCAGGCCCTGAGAGGTGACCTCATGTCACATACCAAGATCACACAGCCGAGCAGTGTCCAAGGCAAAATTCCAACCCAGGACTCCCTACTTTCAGTCCAGGTCTCCGTAGTTCCCACCTGTCATCTGTGTGACCTGTTGGAATAAATGAGGATTGTGGAAGAACGGTTTTAAGACTCAGAGGGACTTGAGTTAGGATCCTGACTTTGCAGATGAGGAAATCGATTGTCAAGGATGTAAATTCACTATTTGAGGCCACAACAGGCAAGTTAAGTGGGATTAAAACCCAGCTGTGTTTAAGTTTAGGTTTGATTTTCTTATTCATATGTTTATTCACTTTTTTGGCCTTTTGGGATTCAGACAGTCTCCATTTTATAGATGAGTAAAACTGGGGTTCAGAAAATTTAAAATGACCAACATCTATACGGCTAAGAAAGTGGGATTTGAACTAACCCTCCAGTGTCTTACTTGCCCTTCTTCTCCACAGGGCATCATGGTGGGAGGCTTGAAGAGGAAACACTCTGATTTGGAAGAGGAGGAGGTGGATGAGAAGTGGGACTGGAGTCCAGCAGGCCTCCGGAGCTACCAGCAAGCCCTGCTACGCATCTCCCTCGACAAAGTCCAGCGTAGCCTGGGCCCCCGGGCCCCCAGCCTCCGCAGGCATGTCCTGATCCACAACACCCTCCAGCAGCTCCAGGCCGCACTTCGCCTGGCTCCTGCCCCTGCCCTGCCCCCTGAGCCCCTCTTTCTGGGCGAGGAGGATTTCTCCCTGTCAGCCACCATTGGCTCTATCCTCAGGGAGCTGGAGACCTCCATGGATGAGACTGAGGCCCCTCAGAATCTGGTGGCTCCCCCTGACCTCCAGAATGAAGTGCCACCCCAGCCTGATCCCATCTTCCTAGATGCCCTGAGCTCCCGGTACTTGGGGGACTCTGGCCTAGATGACTTCTTTCTGGACATTGACACATCTACAGTGGAAAAGGAGCCCGCACTGGCCCCTCCAGAGCCTCCTCACAACCTCTTCTGTGCCCCAGGGTCCTGGGAGTGGAATGAACTAGATCACATCATGGAGATCATTCTGGGGTCCTAAAACTTGGATGAGGGGATCCTTCCTCGTGCCTCTTCGGTAGGCTGGATCCGTGGGTGCAACTCTGTGTGTTTTGGTGGGGGCTGTAAACAAAGGACTGTGGCCTCCTCTCCTCCCATTTCAGGGTTCCACAAACTGTCTTGCATGTGTGTGTGTGTCTGGTTAGCCCAGCCTTCTGTGAAGGTGGGTCTTCCTGAATTAATTTATCTGTTCCAAATGCCTTAACGAGACTCTGTTTCTGGGAGTCTGATTTCCCACTTACACATTGCTTCTGCCTTCCCTCCGGTTCCCACTCCCCTTGTGACCACTGGGGCCTCAGGGAAGATAAAGAAAGCCAGGCCTGTCCAAGGATGACAGGGATGTGCTGCCAGGTTGCTATGGAAACTCAGCTTCTGTTTCTTGCACCTTGAGGGAGTGGGAGGGGCTGGTCTCCTCCCCGCAAGGCCGAACCCCACTTCCTAGGCAGGGCCCCAATCTCAGCAGCCTCCTGCTTCATAACCAGGCCGGACCACGTGCAATAGAGTGGAAACCAAACTGCTCCGTGCCGCATTATTTAAAAGAAAGGCAGGGTTTGTGGTGGCTTTTTTTGTTCGTTTGTATATTTTTTTCTAATAAAAGTATTTTGAAAGGTATGGTGTTGTCTTACATTTCTAAACTTCACTAGGTCAATGGGAGGCACCTGATAAGTTTTCTAAACACCTACACTACTTCTCTGCCAAAGTTGGGTTGGGTATATTATTGTACATAACGTTTATTAAGCATTTGTTAAGACCACTGTACTAACCACTTTATGTCCTTTAATCTTCATGACTGTAGAAACAGGTACTGTTATCACATATAGGAGGAACCTGAAGTTCAGAGAGGTCAATTCACGTACTCAGGGCCACACAGCCAGGAAGAGCAAGGACCAGGGACCTAGGACTCAAAACTCAGTTGGCCTCCAGAGCCTTGGTCTTAACTATTGTGTCTATATTGCTTCTTAGATTCCCTAGCCACATGGTGGGAACAGGAGGGAGAAACTGAGTCACATGAAGTATGTGTCACAGGACAGAACTTGGCTGGCACAAGTCAACCCTTTGTACTGAATGTGCTGCACAGGCCCGGAGGGGGGGGAAGAAAATGCCCCAAAACCCCCAGTACCAAAAGATCTTTTTTTTTTTTTTTGAGTTGGAGTCTCACTCTGTCACCCAGACCTGCTGGGCTCCGGCGATCATTCCACCTCAGCCTTCCAAGTAGCCGGAATTACAGGCGCGCGCTACCACGCCCGGCTGACTTTTTGATTTACTGTAGAGATGAGGTCTCGCTGCCCAGGTGGGTCTCGAACCTGTGAGCTCAGGCAATCCACTCACCTCAGCCTCCCAAAGGCGCGGGATTACAGGCTGAGCCACGGAGCCGGCCAAAAGATCTTTTTAGGAGGCTGTTGGCTAGAAAGCAGAGTCTGTCAGGGTGCTAATGCATTATTTGGGAGATAAAAGCCCAGGCTGGTAAGAGGGGAACCGAAGGAAGATGCAATTTGATAGCAACTGCATGGGCTGCACCTTCACAAAGACCTCTGAGATGCAGCAGGTGAGCTTACACAGCATTAGGGCTTTTCTGGGAGGGTTTCAAGAAGTAACCTCACCTGGGTGTAGTCCATAAAGAAAGGATGGGGATTTTGCCTGTGGTTTCTGGCTCAAAGCCAGGTTTCTCACTCTCAGGGAGTCATTGCAGCTAAAAAGTGGAGGAGTAACTGGAACAGTTGGGTGCAAATCCAGAGAGAGTAAGGAGGTGGTCAAAGGGATCTCAGGAAAGCAAACAAAGTCTGCATCCCGGTATGGATGTCAGTGAAATTCTGTCTTCCTCAAGACTTCCAATAACTTCTTGTCACACTTCAGAATAAGACCCGAACTCAAGATGGGTGCCATGGCTCACGCCTATAATTCCAGCACCTTGGGAGACCAAAGTGTGAAAATCACTGGAGGTTGGGAGTTCAAGACCAGTCTGGGCAACAAAATGAGACCTTGTCTCTACAAGAATAGAAAAACCAGCTGGGCATGGCAGCACATGCGTGTAGTCCCAGCTGCTCGGGAGGCTGAGGCAGGATTGCCTGAGGCCAGGTCAAGGCTGCACTCCAACCTGGGTGACAGAGTGAGACTCCAACTCAAAAAATAAAGGGCAACCCCTTCAGGTCCCCTCCCACTGTGGGAGCTTTTCGGTCCTTTCATTAAATCCTGCTTTCAATCAATTGAAAAAAATAGACAATTCTCGCTCTCATTAAGCTTAACAGTGAAGGAAGATTTAAATAAATATGAAAAATAACGCCAGACGCCATGGCTCATACCTGTAGTCCCAGCTCCTTGGGAGGCTGAGGCTAGAGGATCACCTGAGCCCAGGAGTTCAAGGCTGCAGTGAGCCATGATCACACCATTGCACTTTAGCCTGGACTACAGAGCGAGACCCCCAACTCTGAAAAAATAAAAAAAATTTTAAAACATGAAAAATTAGCTGAGCTCAGTGGCTCAGCCGGTAATCCCGCGTCTTTGGGAGGCTGAGGTGAGTGGATTGCCTGAGCCCACGGGTTCAAGACCCGCCTGGGCAACTTGGCGAGACCTTATCTCTACAATAAATCAAAAATGAGCTGGGCGTGCCTGTAGTTCCAGCGACTTGGAAGGCTGAGGCGGAAGGATCGCCGGAGCCCAGCAAGTCGAGGCTGTGGTGGCCGGGAGCAGCCACTGCACTCCAGTCTGGGCGACTTAGTGAGACTCCGACTCAAAAAAAAAAAGAAAGAAAGAAAGAAAAATTATTAAATACGTACTGTCTGTCAGGCTGTGATAAATGCTGTGGGAGAAAAAAAGGAGAGGTATGAAGGAATGTTGCTTTTTAGGCGGGATGGCCAGATAAGGCCTCACAGGCAAGGTGACATTTGGGTAAAGACCTCTGAATCTCTGGGGGAACATTGCAGGGAGAAGAAACAGCGCAAAGGCCTTGAGGTCAGAGCACACACATAAAGCCAGTGTAGCTGGAGCAGAGTGGGCAAGGGGAGAGAGTACTGGAGGTGACAGAGGTAAGGGGGCAAATCACACAGGGACTTATGGGTCCCACAGGGAAGATTTGAGCTTTACTGAGCTTGAGATGGAAGCCATGGGAAGGTGTTGAGCAGAGGAAAGATATAACCTGACTCACCTTTTTCTTTTGTTGTTTTTGTTTTTTTTTTGAGTCGGGGTCTCACCAGGTTGGAGTGCAGTGGCATGATCACAACGATCATGACTCACGCAGCCCTGACCTCCGGGGCTAGAGCGACCCTTCCACCTCAGCATCCCGAGTAGCTGAGACTACAGGCACCCGCCACCAGGCCCGGCTAATTTTTTAATTTGTATTTATTTACAGAAACGAGGTCGGGTTAGGCTGCCCAGGATGGTCTCAAACTCCTGGGCTCAAGCAATCTGCCCACCTCGACCTCCCAAAGTGCTGGGATTACAGGCATGAGCCCCCACGCCTGGCTTTTTGTTGTTGTTTTGTAGAGACAAGGTTTCACTACGTTGCCCAGGCTGGTCTCGAGCTGCTGGGCTCAAGCCATCCTCCGCCCTCGGCCTCCCGCAGTTCTCTTTGCCCTAAAGACAACCAAAGGCGGGGGAACTGTGTAGCTCCTTAGTACCAGGACGAGGCCAGGTAAGCCGGGAACCCCGTTTCCAGATGCCCAAAGCGAGGCGCAGAGACGCCCGGCTCTTGGCCTAGCATCGCACCTGTCCAAGAACTGGCCGCAGAAGTGGAAAGGCTGGCCCAGCCGCGGAGCGCGGTCCCCGAGGGCA